AAATTTAAAGGACCATAAAAGACTACAATGAACCCTAATACTTAGGCTCTAAACAAAAGAATACGTTATGCGGAAGTCGAAACACGAAAGATTCGTAGAGACACTTAAACCTAGAGTACCCTGATACCAATTGTGATACCCCCCCAATTTTGGAGAAACGAGTTAATCAAGTCCGCACCCAAAACCAGGAGATATCAAACAATTAATATTTTAAAATGAACACAAAATACAAAAAGATAAATAATAAAAGAAATAATATTGCTAAAAGGAAACTAAATAATAAACATTCTCTGAATAAATCCAATAAATACCAAAACTCCAGAATCAATGTAAACCTCCATAATACAACTCGGGAATCCATATAAGGTGGACCTCTAATAAAATAATCCAAACTGAGAATCTAAATGATAAATGGCTAAGTCTATAAAATAAGAATATGAAATAGAATCCTACGTCGATGACACCGGAAGAATGATAATGACTGGTCTCTTCTCTGCACGAACTAACTCTATGCCTGGTACTGACGAGGACCAGAAAATATAACAACAAAGGTGGGTCAAAACCCACAAACAAGTCATTTCTACTACATCCCAAACTGAGACTCGATAAATGATACATCCTAGTCCAACTCATGCAATATCTACGTAGTCGATACATATACATAAATACACACTAAAGATTCTCACTGAACTATAAGGCAGACTCACCTTGATAGTAGGTATTATATGAAAATCGCACACAAGGTGGTCACGAGTCCCTCTTCTATCAGGGCACACACATCTCCTATATCCAGCTACGTACCCATCTTAACTGGCAATATACGCCTCAGTCCTAACCATTGATCCCGAGATCTCAAGCTCGTATCATGGTACACAATAACAACATATATATAGCCATATCCTAACAATGGCACATTCAAAGGTTATAACCATATCCTAACAATGGTATGACAAGTAATAAGACTAAACTTATTAGCCAGCTCATTTATACAATACAAAACATATAACTATATCCTGACAATGGCATAAAGCAAAACCATATCTTGACAATGGTCCAGACAAACGACAAATATACATTAGGTCATGTATAAGATCATATAATATTGTCGAGAATATGATTATAATCATATTATCATCCATTGCAATTATTATAACAATAAAAGCATTAATAAGAATCATGTTAATAACTTACAACCTATGTAAAGTCCATTATAGCTTAAATCTTAGCATATTATTGTATATTATGCATGCTATGATTTTATAAAGTTCATATCAATCATTTAATTCGACCTAAACAACCTACAGTAGCATTGGTACCCACAAAACAAACATCAAAGCCCAAAACCAAACTGAGTCGGCTTCTTCTAGAAGGAGCCAGCTCTTTCACAACGGAGCCGGCTCTTTCACAACGGAGCCGTCCCTTTCACAGTGGAGCCGACTTTATTCTATTAGGTTCATTCTTCTCGGATTTCGACCACTATAATTCCCTCAGATCTCCATAGTTAAGGGTCCTAAGCTTCAAAACTAAGTTCCAGAACAGCCTAAACATTCATACAAAGCATGGGGACATGATTTACGCCATCAAAACATACTTTAACACATTTATATTAAGGTTCAACAGTTTATATATATATATATATATATATATATATATATATATATATATATTTCTGTTTTGATCCATTTTAAACATGCAACAGTTCAATTTAATCTGTTATTAAACCCCTAAAATTGTCCTAAGGATGAATCGAACACTAAATCAAAGAAGAATAGTCAAACAAGAACTTGCTTTAAGGGTTTCGGATCGAAAACCCTACTCCTTTCTTCTCCGTTCATTTTCTTAACTCCGGCAGCCTTCGGGTTGCCGACGTGAGCCTTTACTGATCTAGTTCCACCCCACAAACAGTCCTCTGTCTTCTCCCTTGGATCAGCTTCATAGCCTCCCTCTCTTTCTTTCTTTCTCTTTCTCTGTCTACTTTTCTCTTCTATCTCTATGTGATTCTCACGTCCCAGCCCTAGCCCCTTCTACAGACTACATATATATATATATATATATATATATATATATATATATATATATATATAACATACTAACCCTAATCCTAATCTAAAACCACGTTTGATAACTTAAAATAAATATCCTAATCTAAAACCACGTTTGATAACTTAAAATAAATAATAATAATAATAATAAACATTATATATTATATATATATATATATATATATATATATATATATATATATATATATCCTCCCATGGGCTTATACTCCATACCCAACTAGGCTTCCTTCTAAGTGGTCCGAGAACCGTTTAGTTGGTCCAAACCCTTAGCCCAATCCATCACTTTTAAATAAATAAAATAAACTAATTAAAAATGTAAAATAAGCCATCAAAAATTTAAATTAAATTAACTAAGCAAACTACACAGCTAAAAACAATTAATCACATAACAATTTAAATAATTAACACATTTAAACATTAACAATTAAATCATTGCACATGCACAAATAGCCACATAATCAAAAATGCCATTAAAATAATAAAATAAATACTCTGAAAATTAAAGGTATTACATTAAGAAAAGCCCAAGATTGCTGATTGGGAGAAGATGCTAAAGAAGCTGAGGGAGACTTTTCGTCTGCACAACTATACCTAGTCATTGTTTCGAAAGTTATAAAATTGTCGTCAATGAAGCAGGATTGTTGACGATGTACAGAGAGGAATACGTTAGACTTGTTCTCAGGAGTGAATTAAATAGAAGTGAGGAACAAAAGGTTGCGTGGTATATTATGGGATTATGGGTTAATCTACGGGATATCTGAACCAACACGATATTTGGAATGTTTCTCAAATATATTAGAGTTCTAAAGCTACAGAATTTTAGCAAGCAAAAGAGACACAGAGAGCCAAATAATCAGGTAAATTCTAATAGAGCTACTACTTCTAAGTGGCAATGTCATAGAACCATTGCTAGTAATCGAACAACAACAACAATGCCTCAAAGTGGCAGCAATGCAACCCCTCAATCAGAGTCAGGTGGTGGTGCAGTACCAGGACACAAGTCCGGTGAATGTTAAAAGTAAATAGTCGTAAGAAAAATAGCTTCTTGGCTTGGGGCGAGCTGAGGTGTTGAAATTTTGTATTTAGTGTGGGCTAATTCCTTGACCCACCACAAATTTAGAGAAAGAAAATTAAAAAAGTAAATAAGTTATATATATATATATATATATATATATATATATATATAATAGAAGGTTCTAGATTTAAGATTTTGTAAAAACATAATAGATAAAAAAATAAATAAAAAGTACCATCATGGGGACCATTGTCTTACCTTCCATCTCACTATAAGATCTCATACGAAGATTTTTCACAGAAGGAATGGTCTTCAGTTACGTACCTAATTGTAACAAGTGCGTCAGTGTAATCATATCTTGGATTGGGATTCCATATCTTCTTAATTGTATATTTGTTTCTAATACAATTTTAACTAAAAAAATATTACAATAACCTTTTTTGATGGGACCTTTGTCTAATAAATATATGATAAAATGCGTATTGAATCTGGTGATATCCACGCCAGGCACATTTGTCCCCGCAAAATGACATCTTTAAGGTGAAAATTATACGTACATACTTACAATATTCTTGTATGACTGTATTTAGCAATCCTTTATATATATATATATATATATAAAGAAATAAAATAATAAATAAACATCTCAATATCTTTTCGAATATGAGGCGTCCCACCAAATCTGCTTTTTTATTAAAAAAATCTTTTCTGACAACTCGTGTCTGCTACCTTTAATGGTTCCATCAACTGCTTTAAATGACAATTATTTTAGAACGAGAATTGTTATTCATAATCGCGACTTACAGTCGCATCTTTTATCAACTAAAAAATTAATTATAAAAAATAAAATTTAATATTTTTTTTCTTATTTTGTTAGAATTATGAAATTTTAATTTATAGAACCAGATTATCCTTTTATATTTATTCTTTCTTTTCTTACCTTTCTTATTGGTTCATCTCTCTTTTAATTTTTTCAATTGTTTTTAACAATATAAAAAAAAATTTAGATAAATTGATTGTTACTTTTCTTTTCTTTGTTCACACACACATATAATAATTTATCATACTGTGAATAGATTAAAAAATCATACTATTCTTATTTCACATATTGACTAAAATTTAAATTTTATAATATTATTTCAATTAAATCTTAATCTCATAATATTATTTCAATTAAATTACATAAAACCCAATAAAAAAAACCATCAACGAAAAAAAAAAAAATAATAACATAAAAAGGTAATTTGATCCTATAAGTTAAAATTTCATAATTCTAACAAAATATGAAAAGACGTCGCATTAATTACATTTTTTATAATTAATTTTTCAATTAATAAAAAGTGTGAAGAGTCGCTTGCGCAGTGTAAATAGCAATCCTCAAAAAGAAACAAGTTATGCATTCTAGTACTACACTGTGCATTTGAACCGAAATGCCGGCCTTATCACATGGCCGGTGGGATTCAACCACGAGAGACCCAGAAAATTTTTAATGGGTGACACATTGTATATCATAAGATATATTTACAAAATAATGCATATACATATATAATTCATTATTTATATATGTGTATATAAATATTGAATCTTTAAATAAAAATAAAAAATTTAAATTAAACCGAATTGAGAGCGTTTTAATGAAATCACATGAATGAAGTTGAAGTCTAACCTCACGTGGCCTGCATTTTGGAAAGGTGTTTTTCCATGCATTATTCAGCTTGTGTTGGCAGTGATTTAGGCATATAGATTGAAGTCCGAATCTATCGGTGAGTATGTAAAATATATATAATTTACTGAAATTAATAAATAAATTATTTTTATTCAATTTTATTAATTTTTTTTAAATATTTAACACAATCAAATATCAAAATAATAATAATATTTTACATCCGACAAGTATTAAGCTGATTTTGTTAGCACTATACTATTAATGGGTCAGAATAACACTCTCATTCAGTCTCAACTTTGAAGTTGTTGCCATGGAGTCCATACCTCACCCAACAATGGCGAAACCTGATAAGCTCCACATAGCCATGATCCCATGGCTAGCCTTTGGTCACATCATCCCCTACCTCGAGCTCGCCAAGCTCATCGCCCAAAAGGGTCACAAAATCTCCTTCCTCTCCACCCCTAGAAACATCGATCGCCTCCCAAAACTCCCGCCAAACTTAGCCCCTCTCATCAACTTCATCAAGCTTCCTCTTCCCCACGTCGACAACCTCCCGGAAAACGCCGAGTCCACCTCCGATCTACCTTACCACAAAGTCAAGTACCTCAAGATAGCTTATGATCTCCTCCAACAACCAGTGACCAGTTTTCTAGAATCTTCAGCTCCTGATTGGGTTATGCATGACTTTGCACCTTATTGGTTAGGTCCAATTGCAGCTAGGCTCAACATTTCAAGTGCTTTCTTCACTATCTCCATTGCTTCCAGTTTGGTCTTTTTGGGACCTGCAAAGTATATGATGGGCATGCACAGTGATCCGAAACCGATCAAGGCCGAGGACTTCACGGTCCCACCCAAATGGGTTCCGTTCAAATCAACGGTTGCGTTCAAACTGTTCGAGATCTTGCGCGTTTTTGATGAGGTGGTTGCAGAAGATGAAGAAATTTCCGGTATTTATCGGTTCGGGGCAAGCATTGATAGGTGTGACGTGTTGGCTCTAAGAAGCTGTTATGAGTTTGAATCTGAATGGTTACCCATTGTTGAAGAGATTCACAGGAAACCAGTGATACCGGTGGGTCAGTTACCGGCCACAGCTTATCATGAGGACGACCACGAGGACATTGCATGGAGGGAAATGAAAGAGTGGCTTGATAAGCAAGGTAAAGGGTTAGTGGTTTATGTTGCATTTGGGAGCGAAGCGAAACCGAGTCAAGCTGAACTCACTGAGATAGCTCTGGGGTTGGAGCTATCCGAGTTGCCGTTCCTTTGGGCTCTAAGAAAGAAACGAGGGATGGCTGATACCGAGGTGATCGAGTTGCCGGAAGGGTTTGAGGAGAGAACTAGAGGACGTGGGTTGGTGAGGACGAGATGGGTGCCTCAACTCAGGATACTGAGTCATGACTCAGTGGGTGGGTTTTTGACTCACTCGGGTTGGAGTTCGGTGGTGGAGGGAATACAGTTTGGGAGAGCTCTTATACTATTGACGTTTTTGGCGGAGCAAGGGCTGAATGCTAGGGTTTTGGAAGAGAAGAAGATGGGTTATTCGATACCGAGAGACGAGCGAAATGGGTGGTTTACCAGGAACTCAGTGGCCGAGTCACTGAGGTTAGTGATGGTAGAGGAAGAAGGGAAGATATACAGGGACAAGGTCAAGGAGATGCAAGGAATTTTTGGGGACAGGGATATACAAGACAAGTACGTGGATAATTTGTTGGCTCAGCTTCAAAGTCATCCAAAAAGGGGACCCCAAGAAGGAAAGTAATGACGATGGAGTTCAGAATAGCTGAATATATACCAGTATTGTTCCTAATTTTGACTTTTTTTTCTTTTAAATTTTTTTTTTTATCCGTTTGAAATGTAAAAAAAAAAAAAAAAAAAAAATTGGTTATTGGATTTGTAATTGCCTCAGTAGGAAAGATACTTCCTTTGTGTTGTTAATTTTATTTTCCTATGTATTGCAAGGAAAGATGTTATAATCCGTGAATGGAAGATTCAAACATGATAGATAAAATAATGCTACTAAAACCAACAACTAGTAGCTAGTATTTTGTAATAAACACTTTAACTGTTTTTATTTATTCTGATGCAAACTATATAACAAGCCCAACGGGATGTCATTGTCCTCCCCTTCTATGTAGGGTCATATTAGACCTGTCAATAGAACGGATTCTGATTCGAATCTGATCCGATTAGTCAGATATGAATTGAACAAAAAATTTGATAATCCGATTACAATTCGAATTTGATAATCCATTAACTTAACAAATCGTATATGAATTATGCTGATCCGATCCGATAAAAATTCGATTCGATTGAAGTTATATATATATATACTCCTATTAGAATTGTATTAGAGGTAATCCAAAAATTCAAAATAATAATAATAATGTTATATATAAATATTGTGGTATTTTCATCCATATACTAATAAATTTCTTAATACACATACTAATAAAATCATACTCTTTATAATTATATATGTTAGTAAATATTATTTTAATCCGATTTCGAATCCGATCCGATCCGAGTCGGAGCTAAATAGGATATGGATTGGGACATTCAGTCCGAGAATCCGTTAGTGATCCGAATCCAATAATCCGATTGCTTAACAAATAGAATATGAATTTGATCGATCCGATCCGAATTTGATCCATTAACAGGTCTAGGCCATATGCACTCACAAATGTCATGTTATTAGGAACACTGACCTCTTGGGTCATAAAATTGGACAAAAATCCTATCATTTGCACTGTCCAGTAAATGTACTGATTTGACACTTTTGGTAAAACCATATTTATCATCAATAATATATACATATTATTTGTACATCATTTTTATACATTGTATTATTAAATTAATTTATTCAAGTGAATTTGACTTAGTGAGTCCCATATATATAAAAAAGATTAAAATTTCAATTTCCCTCCCAAAAGTCTGTTATATATATATATTTTTTAATTGGTACTCACACATATGTCTCTTATAAGACTTAAACACTTAACCTCCCTTTGAAAAATAAGAAACTGATACCGCTAGACTATTGGCCCGTTAGTATTTCAACATCAAATTCAAAACTCACTTTCAAAATCAGATCTTTCTTAGATTCCAACCAGACCAAGTTCATAACTATTGTTTCAGACAAACCAAAGTAGAGCAAGATTTCGGCAAAATACATAAATAATCGACAAAGAAGCATAGCAATGAAGATTTTTCAACAAAGTTGCATGTTTAGATTAATTTTTATTACTTGCAAAACTAATTCTACCTACAAGTATCTTGTTTTTAACTTGTTAGCAGAGCCTAATTGGTCAAGCTTTCTTATTGTATTATTTTTTTCGCTCGATATTTAATGTGTTTTTTATACCTGCATCATTATCTCATTTATTTCATTTTATCATTTGTAATCTTTTTGAGTTTTAAATTTTGTTTGCATTGAAAATAGAGTCAAGTTACTCCCAAAAAATAGACATGGATTTATACTAGTTGGCACCTCTATTTTTCTTGTATGTGTGTTATATATTTAATTATGTATTTGTCAAAGAATTTCACAAGGAGAATAATAAGTAATGGTGGTTTTGAAATTTCCATAGGTCATTAGGCAAAATGTTTTGAGGTTTCAAATGCTGCCCAATTTGCAGGCTACCAGTTGAGAGAGTTTTGGAGATTAAGGTCAGTAATGGACCTGATGAGTGAAAAAATGATGCATCATTACAACCATCATTCTATATAAGTTCTTTTATTTTTTGTTTTTTTTCTCTGACAAAAAACATAATTAGTATACAATTATATTGTATATAATGTTGTCTTTTTGTTGGTGTTAATTGATTACAATGTTGTAAGCCAATGCTTTGTATGTTTGTGCCAGTTTTTAATGGCATTTCCTTTTGAGTTTTTACTATTCAAATGAAATATATAATGTATTTAATTATGTCTAGAATAAATATTTTGAAGTGTATTTCTATTATTCTTCCTTGGGTCTCCTCTCAAAGAACTTTTTGGGTTATCACAGTTTGTGTGTTATGAGTTTTGTATTGTCAAATTCTCCTTTAGGGTGAATTATTTATTAGCAGAAAAAAATGACATACTATAATATGTAACATCAATCAAATGTAACAACAAATAAACATATTTTTAAAATGAAAACACAACGTAAGCGTAACATATTTCAAATGTAAATATAACTCGCATACCAAATTACTTGTAGCATGCATCACTTGTTATTTTTATATGACTTATATTAAAAATGTAATACCAATCAAACGTTATATTAAACAAATATATCTAGAATGACATCACAACTTTAAAATATCATGTTATATATATATTATATGATACATTCCAACTTAAATGTAACATATATGTATCATTTATGAACTTTATAATACAATAATAATATAAAAAAATTAAATTACCCCTTTATTTCAAAAGGAGTGGGAGAAATAAAGCAGCCAATTTTATTTTATGAGTGTGAGATTGTCCCATTGTCAAAAGTGGAAAGAACTTGAATTAGTTATCTAATAATACAAAAGTCTAGTGGTTGCTAATACTATATTTTATTTACATTTATGGTAAATAATGGTCATAGTGAATTATATGATAATGATCGACCTCTTGTAACCCTTTTTACTATACTATTGTGTTAGAGTGATTTTTGAATAACTTTTTACAAGCTTAATTATAATTGGGTAAGAAAATTAAAATTTGATAATGGTGCGTATTTTCAAAAAGCAAGCATGTTATGAGAATGACATCACAACTTAAAGTTAACATGTTTTACGATGTTATATCATTCTGAAATATATTTGTTTGATGTAGTATTTAATTAATATTTTTTATTTGATACAAGTTACATAAAAATAATATATGATACATGGTACAAGTAAGTTTAGCTGTTACATATCATTTAGGTTTGAAATATATTACATTAAATTAATGATTTTATTCGTAAAATGTGTTTATTTGTATATGTGCAAATATTTGAAAAAAAATAAATTAATTCATAAACTTAACATATTTTACGTTATTATGTCATTCTAAAACATAATTGTTTGATATTTAATTTAATTCATGTTTTTATTGATAAAAAGTCCCATAAAAAAAATATATGATATATGGTACAAGTAAGTTAAGATGTTACATATAATTTAGATTTGAAATATATTACGGTTAATTCATAATATTATTCGTAAAATATGTTTATTTGTATATGTACAAAGATTTGAAAGAAAAAAAATTAATCCACACACTCATAAAGAACACTCGAATTCTATTATTGCTTAGTTAAAGCCTTTAGAATTAAAAAATTCTTAGTATTGGATTCCAATTTCCTATACCTATTATGCCATTTTTCTTTACCTTTATTCTCATTTATTTACACAAGAAATATTAGACCTATTATGCCATATTTCTGTACCTTTCTCATCCCACATTGTATATTAACGTTTTTTAAAAAACCAAAATGGCATATTTTCTAACATTTTCACCTCTGATCATTTTACGAATCTCATAAATGTTGAATTAAATAAGTTGTGATTTATATTTTGAATCTATTCCTAGACAACATAAAATTTATTTGCAATTACCCTTATAAAACAGTTCTGATATTATTCTAAACAAGGTTTTTCCTTAATTTTAGTTAATTTTACAAATTTTAATGAAATAAATTGTGATTTATGTTTCTACATTATATGAAATTCAGTTGTGATGGTAGTTACTAAATCATTATGATGTTATTCTAAGCACGTGTTTGGTTTCCCTTTGAACAACCCAAATTAAAAACATAAAAACAAGTAGAAAAATTTAACACAACCTACATAATCAAATAATTTTTAAAAGCCCTATATCTTAAATTTAATATAAATGTGGATGTTGAATTAGAGGGAAATAAATTAATATAAATTAATGTCTAAAACGAAAAATGAATAGTTAACTATACATATTTGGACTAACCATTGGTTAGTCTACTTCACCGGAGAAAGGTGGGGCGGGAAGAGAAACCCGAAAGGGCACGGTGTGAGTTAAACGTAACAGACCCCACTACTAAAGGACTCTAGTTGAAGCAGATTTGGAACCTTATGCCAATGTGGCATTTTTAACTGACAGCTCGTGCAAAAGTGAAAAAGTGAAAAAGTGGAAAGTTGAAGAAACCCCATATTTTTGGCTTCACTCGCTTTTTAGCTAAGAAGACAATCATCAAATGGAAAAATTTTAGTCGTGTATACACGGAAAATCAGTCCAATTTGTTTTCCTCAAGGAGACTCAGATCAAATCGAAAAACTTTTACTTTATTGTTGGCAAATAATTATTTTTTCAAAATTAAATTTTATTAATTAACCCAAAAAAAAAATATTACTCCGTATATTGAAACTATTTAAAAAAATTATTTATAATTTACTTTTAATTTATATGTTATATATATATATATATAAAGACTAAGTTATACAAAAACACCTCTTTCTCTCAATTGTATTAAAGCTATTTCAAAATATTATTTTTTTCATTTATATTATGTCTAGTTATATATCAATATTATTATATTAATTTAATTGTAATTTTAATTGCTAAATATATTATTTTGTGACTAATAAAAAATAAAATGATATAACTTCAATTCGCGGTAGAATTGAAGTTATAAAACAAAAAATATCAATTAAATAATATGATATCCTTTTCTATACTTGCGCCACCGGTAGAAATTAGCTCCTTCTTTGTTCTACAAATAATATAGTGAAAAACTGATATAGCCATTTAGATTTTAAGTTCTTCAAATATATAATACCCTACTAAAAGAATTTGTGAACCTTTCTCTTCAAATAATCCTTTAGCTTTTGACAAGATTTAGATTGGAAATATATACTACTGGGAGGGTAGAAGAAGAAAGACGAAGAACTATAGCAAAATGATAGAGAAAAAGAAGAAATTAAAAAGTTTTTCTGAAACAGTAAATGTGAAGCATCATGGTTTTTTTTGAAAAGGTAAAGGTGAAATATAATGGAATAAAATAATTTTGTATATGATATATTGCATGTATAACGTATAACATATAAATATATATTGT